CACCACGGTACATTCATGAAATATTACTTTTCTTTGTAGTAAAATTCTTGATGTGTTCAGCATGCAACAGTACACCACAGACCATCCAAAGTTTGATCCTGGGACCAATTTTTGTCTATTCAGTGCGATTCGGCTGTGGAAAAATTATTTTGGCCGATAGCTAAAATAGATTTCATTCCATCTTTTAACCTGATTATCAATATTTCTGCATACAGTTTGCTTAAAATACATTCTAGAAGTGAAATCTATTGTGATAAAATGACGAAAACAGATCGTACAGTAATCCACGGCTGGTCTATTACAAACATGTGCTTGTTTGAAAACATGTACTTTGTTGAATAGACGCCAATTCCCAAAGTTCGGAATCAAAGAACGCTCCGATCCAGCTAGCACGGAATTAGCAGCGACTGGGATGAAAATAAAAAGTACCATCCAATGCCGTTTATTTACTGTACAAGCATTCTTTGTTAGGATCAATCACCATTAAAGACAAATAAAACGCCATAAACAAAGAGAAGTACGTTGGCGATTTGGATGACGTTTACCGGGATTGTGGGACGATAATCCTAAAGCAAGAAATGACAAAAACAACAACGCATCACATCATAAAGCTGTACGATTTTTGAAAGCAAAATGAAGGAATGCACACAAAACAGAAATAGCTGAAAAAATGAATGGTAGAAATGAAGGGCAGGAAGTCCCAAAATAATGAATCATCAAAAACCAAACCTAAAATTCTTTACAAAACCGCTAGAAATAATGAGTCATCAAAACCCAAATCTAAAATCCTTAATAAAACCTAACTTATAATATTTCCAGAAAATACCGATTTCCCAAGATTTTAATAAAAAGCGCAAAATTGTGGCGATCCTATACTAGAACAATGTTTCTTTCCTGCTCTCTGCTTCAAAAATTCTCCCTCTCACGTTTTAGCACTAAATTCAAAGCCTATAACTCTAAATCCTAAATGCAGTCAGGCGGCTTCCAGCTAATTTTGCCTCATTTACGACTAAATTTTTCCTCCTCTCTGAACGATCTTTGCAATGCTCAGGCCAATTTCTTGCTCTTTTTCCTTACACACCGATGAACTTCAAATTTTCTTAATGGATGTACAAAAGACATCACTTCCCTCCGGGATACCCCAAAGTTCAAGAACCGATGGGTTAAACACTGTAACCGGGCAGACATAACAGATCCTCACCAGTCAAAGCTGAAATACATCCGCCGCTACTTTCCAACTCCCTGTCTTTTGAAAAATTATGTGAGCGAAGCTTCTTAAAGCAATGAATTCCCTTCATAACAGTAATGATTATGACAAAAACGGTCCGAGTTTCCTCTAAATTTAACATATTCTTTGTAATTTCTTGGTATTTTTCTCGCCAAATTCTTAAGGTCACCTTTTTGGTGTTTTTACTATACAAAAAATTCACCAAGTCAGAAGCTTAAAGAAATGCTTTTTTTTGGCAAGCAGTGGAACTGAACAAAAAAAAAATTGGGAATTCCCAACAATAACCGTAAAAATACGATAAAAATAAAAACACAAAAACTCTTAAAAATACAATTCCTCTAAAATAAATATACAGTTTTCTTATAATTTCAAAAGACAAATAGGAAGTGATAGGAAAGTAATACAAATATTCGAAGCAAATACTCTTATGATAATAACCAGTTTCTGTTAATTTTCACAAATAAATACCCAAATGAAAAAATACAATGAAATTAAAGCACAGGTTGCTGAAATGCAACAATACTTTTGAAAAAAGAAAATGAGCCCCACGAAAAAACAATGTCTGCTGCATGATGGCTTTTGAGGTTGCTAGAAAAAAAAAGAAAACGTCTAAATCCTTGAAATCGGTCCCAACTCTGGACGGTTATGCCTGAATCTATGCGGGAAAACGAGGCTTTCTGCGCCGGCTGCAAGGGCCAAACGAAAGAGGTGCTGTACTTAGGCAGGGGCGAAACCATTTTCAGAAGTAGCACGACTGCCTCGTGCCGAGAAGATTGTACTGCGAACATCTGCACTACTTCCATTACGTGATGTTGCAAGACTTGTGCTTGCACTACGCCAAGCCGGTACATGCACAGAATCGTGCTCCTCACTTTTGTCCAGTTCTGCGATTTTCGAAGTATCCTGAAATTTGTCACAGTTATTGAAGCACTTTTTTTCTTTTTTTTAAAAATGATGCATTTTCATTCCTTCAAAACCGTGCATTCTAGTTATTTTCAAATTTCG